ACAGTGTCAGTGTCTGATTGAATCCTAAAGTCTACATACACTATACAGGATTACACCATCTGATTGTATCCTAAAGTCTACATACACTATACAGGATAACAGATCTGATTGTATCCTAAAGTCTACATACACTATACAGGATTACAGTGTCTGATTGTATCCTAAAGTCTACATACACTATACAGGATAACAGTGTCTGATTGTATCCTAAAGTCTACATACACTATACAGGATTACAGTGTCTGATTGTATCCTAAAGTCTACATACACTATACAGGATACTATACAGGATTACACCATGATCTGATCCTAAAGTCTACATACACTATACAGGATATCTGATTGTATCCTAAAGTCTACATACACTATACAGGATTACACATACACTATACAGGATTACACCATCTGATTGTATCCTAAAGTCTACATACACTATACAGGATTACACCATCTGATTGTATCCTAAAGTCTACATACACTATACAGGATTACACCATCTGATTGAATCCTAAAGTCTACATACACTATACAGGATTACACCATCTGATGTCTGATTGAATCCTAAAGTCTACATACACTATACAGGATTACATCACTACTACATACACTATACAGGATAAAGTCCTACACATACACTATACAGGATGTCTGATTGTATCCTAAAGTCTACATACACTATACAGGATAACAGTGTCTGATTGAATCCTAAAGTCTACATTCACTATACAGGATTACACCATCTGATTGTATCCTAAAGTCTACATACACTCTACAGGATTACAGTGTCTGATTGAATCCTAAAGTCTACATACACTATACAGGATTACAGTGTCTGATTGTATCCTAAAGTCTACATACACTATACAGGATTACAGTGTCTGATTGTATCCTAAAGTCTACATACACTATACAGGATTACACCATCTGATTGTATCCTAAAGTCTACATACACTATACAGGATTACAGTGTCTGATTGAATCCTAAAGTCTACATACACTATACAGGATTACACCATCTGATTGTATCCTAAAGTCTACATACACTATACAGGATAACAGGGTCTGATTGTATCCTAAAGTCTACATACACTATACAGGATTACAGTGTCTGATTGAATCCTAAAGTCTACATACACTATACAGGATTACACCATCTGATTGTATCCTAAAGTCTACATACACTATACAGGATTACACCATCTGATTGAATCCTAAAGTCTACATACACTATACAGGATTACACCATCTGATTGTATCCTAAAGTCTACATACACTATACAGGATAACAGTGTCTGATTGAATCCTAAAGTCTACATACACTATACAGGATTACACCATCTGATTGTATCCTAAAGTCTACATACACTATACAGGATTACACCATCTGATTGAATCCTAAAGTCTACATACACTATACAGGATTACACCATCTGATTGAATCCTAAAGTCTACATACACTATACAGGATAACAGTGTCTGATTGAATCCTAAAGTCTACATACACTATACAGGATAACAGTGTCTGATTGAATCCTAAAGTCTACATACACTCTACAGGATAACAGTGTCTGATTGAATCCTAAAGTCTACATACACTTTACAGGATTACACCATCTGATTGAATCCTAAAGTCTACATACACTCTACAGGATAACAGTGTCTGATTGTATCCTAAAGTCTACATACACTATACAGGATTACACCATCTGATTGTATCCTAAAGTCTACATACACTATACAGGATTACAACATCTGATTGTATCCTAAAGTCTACATTCACTATACAGGATTACACCATCTGATTGTATCCTAAAGTCTACATACACTATACAGGATTACACCATCTGATTGTATCCTAAAGTCTACATACACTATACAGGATTACAGTGTCTGATTGAATCCTAAAGTCTACATACACTATACAGGATTACACCATCTGATTGAATCCTAAAGTCTACATACACTATACAGGATTACAGTGTCTGATTGAATCCTAAAGTCTACATACACTATACAGGATAACAGTGTCTGATTGAATCCTAAAGTCTACATACACTATACAGGATTACACCATCTGATTGAATCCTAAAGTCTACATACACTATACAGGATTACACCATCTGATTGTATCCTAAAGTCTACATACACTATACAGGATTACACCATCTGATTGTATCCTAAAGTCTACATACACTATACAGGATTACAGTGTCTGATTGAATCCTAAAGTCTACATACACTATACAGGATTACACCATCTGATTGAATCCTAAAGTCTACATACACTATACAGGATAACAGTGTCTGATTGTATCCTAAAGTCTACATACACTATACAGGATTACAGTGTCTGATTGTATCCTAAAGTCTACATACACTATACAGGATTACACCATCTGATTGAATCCTAAAGTCTACATACACTATACAGGATAACAGTGTCTGATTGAATCCTAAAGTCTACATACACTATACAGGATTACACCATCTGATTGTATCCTAAAGTCTACATACACTATACAGGATAACAGTGTCTGATTGAATCCTAAAGTCTACATTCACTATACAGGATTACACCATCTGATTGAATCCTAAAGTCTACATACACTATACAGGATTACACCATCTGATTGAATCCTAAAGTCTACATACACTATACAGGATTACAGTGTCTGATTGAATCCTAAAGTCTACATACACTATACAGGATTACACCATCTGATTGTATCCTAAAGTCTACATACACTATACAGGATACAGGATTACACCATCTGATTGAATCCTAAAGTCTACATACACTATACAGGATTACAGTGTCTGATTGAATCCTAAAGTCTACATACACTATACAGGATAACAGTGTCTGATTGAATCCTAAAGTCTACATACACTATACAGGATTACACCATCTGATTGTATCCTAAAGTCTACATACACTATACAGGATTACACCATCTGATTGAATCCTAAAGTCTACATACACTATACAGGATAACAGTGTCTGATTGAATCCTAAAGTCTACATACACTATACAGGATAACAGTGTCTGATTGTATCCTAAAGTCTACATACACTCTACAGGATAACAGTGTCTGATTGAATCCTAAAGTCTACATACACTATACAGGATTACACCATCTGATTGAATCCTAAAGTCTACATACACTATACAGGATTACAGTGTCTGATTGTATCCTAAAGTCTACATACACTATACAGGATTACAGTGTCTGATTGTATCCTGAGGTCTACATACACTCTACAGGATTACACCATCTGATTGTATCCTAAAGTCTACATACACTATACAGGATTACACCATTTGATTGTATCCTAAAGTCTACATACACTCTACAGGATTACAGTGTCTGATTGTATCCTAAAGTCTACATACACTCTACAGTGTCTGATTGAAGCATTAATTCTATATACAATAGAATTATAACTGTTGGTTTCAAATATTCCGTATCAGTCAGCATACAAAAGCACTGTTAAGTGAATTTGGTATCATTGTAATTGATATCTAAAGATGAATACTTGTTAATGTAGTGAAACATATGTTGATACATTTAGTAAGCATCTACACATTTCTTGTTTTCTGTATAAACTGTCCATTTAATCAGTTAGGTTTTATTACGAATTCGATGCACACAATGCCAACTCAATTCTGAAAACAAACCTTTTTCGACACGTATCGTTTTTACATTTTCTACATACGTTTCAATTTACAAAAGATATACTTTAAAATGTCACATTCACTTTCCCTCGATATGTAGTTAGCGGCCCAGTAACATAGGTACACGTGATATGTATGTACACGTCACTTCCGCTGAAATAACTGAACACCACATGACGCTCCGTGGTCTTAACCTGACGTAACAAGTCTGCTAAACCCATTCCGGTACCAGCTGTCACTGTATACCGCGGAAGTAGTTCTGGTCGAATTTTAAAGACATCATCCCAGACAAGAATCAAACCACTATCACGTCTGGCGGTCCTTGGATGGAGTCCTGAGGATACAGAATTATGAGATATACTTTTGGATGACAAAATACAATCTAATGAACTACGGTAAGGACTTCAGATATTGATGTCGTTTTTGTTATAGATTTGTTTGGATTTGTCTCTCTATTTTATAAATTTCAGAGATGAACCGAAAACTGTATAATATGTACACGAGAGGAGAGACCGAAGCCCGTCAGGTCTGCGATCTTGGGACTCCTTTGCATTATTATATGAAACAGTTTCAACAAATCTGTGTTAGACATAAGGCTTAAATCTACCGTTGTGCAATTAAGCATTTTCTCGTTTTAAAAACTTCGACGACGGTTCCACCTCCGTGCGTTCAACCAAATAAACGTTATTCATCACATACAAAAAAATTAAAAGTAACAACATACCGGAGGTGTTGTTTACATTTAGCTGTTTTATATGTGATGACATACCGGAAGTGTTGTTACATTTAGCTGTTTTATATGTGATGACATACCGGAGGTGTTGTTTACATTTAGCTGTTTTATATATGATGACATACCAGAGGTGTTGTTTACATTTAGCTGTTTATATGTGATGACATACCGGAGGTGTTGTTTAATTTAGCTGTTTTATATATGATGACATACCGGAGGTGTTGTTTACATTTAGCTGTTTTATATGTAATGACATATCGGAAGTCTTGTTTACATTTAGCTATTTTATATATGATGACATACCGGAAGTGTTGTTTTTTTTCATTTAGCCGTTTTATATGTTTACATTTAGCTGTTTTATATATGATGACATACCGGAAGTGTTGTTTACATTTAGCTGTTTTATATGTGATGACATACCGGAAGTCTTGTTTACATTTAGCTGTTTTATATATGATGACATACCGGAAGTGTTGCTACCTTTAGCTGTTTTATATATGATGACACACCGGAAGTGTTGCTACCTTTAGCTGTTTTATATATGATGACACACCGGAAGTGTTGCTACCTTTAGCTGTTTTATATATGATGACACACCGGAAGTGTTGCTACCTTTAGCTGTTTTATATATGATGACACACCGGAAGTGTTGCTACCTTTAGCTATGTTATATATGATGACATACCGGAAGTGTTGCTACCTTTAGCTGTTTTATGTATGTTGATATACCAGAAGTGTTGTTACCTTTAGCTGTGGTATCTCTGATGACATACCGGAAATGTTGTTTACATTTAGCTGTTTTATGATGTGAATGCATTCTCACTGTGTTCTACGACAGTGAAGTGGGATATTACTTCCCCAGTCTACAACTGTTTTCAAGTAATGGGTTTGAAAAAGACACTGAAATAGTGTTTTTAGTGATGTTTAATCATTGCAATAACATGTTTACAACGAAGTCAAGATGTGGCTACAGTGTAACAAAAGGGATGTATTTAACCCCTGTATTAACTTACGCATATCACAGATTGTTAAATTCAAGGAAGGAAGTGGTTGTATCATTGGAATATATAAATGCGTATTATATACCGGATTAATATTCTTTTTGATATATCTCTTTTAACCCCGTCATCTTCAAAACAATAAAAATGTTTTGTCAAAAAGATGAAGACCCCCACTCCACCCAATCCACCTCACCCCTCAAATGTCTCTTTCTGGAAATTATTGAAAATGTCACCATGTGAATAATTTGAAATTCTATGTATGCATGCAAATGATTTTAATCCGTTTTGTAGAAGCTGGCACACTATACACTTCAACTTTGTAATTAATTATGTTTTCGTTTAGATCGTGTCAAGTTTTGATCAAACCTTTGATCCTGAAACAGAATTGTCTACTACTTCATTTGTGTTATATTGTGTTCTTCTTGAACCCAGATTAGGACGTTTGAGAGACTAAATAATTTCACGCTACCTTTAGTCGTTTTACTGTCGACTGTCCTATAAGTGAGATATTAAAACATATATAGAACAGTAACAGGTAACATGCTCCTATATAGTGCAAAAGAAACAATGGATGACATCACAGCCATGTTTCAATAGTACCTGCATAGTGTTATTGACATGAACGGGAGAGTACCTGTTAAGATCGGTGGTTCCCCAGAAATCAGGAAGGATCCATTTATAACTGCACAGAACATCCCGTCATTAAAGCATGTCCTAACTTCTACGGTATAGATGTCATTGTCTTTGAGGGTCACGTGATCTATCGCAGCGTAGTTCCGAAGGTCAGTCGTCTCCCACTCCGTAATGTGTTGATTACCTCGACAAATTCTGTAGGAATAGTCATCGATATCGAATGGATCAGCGTATATGTCCCACGAGAACGTTAACATCGAAGAGGATCGTACTACCGGAAGTCCGGCAGATGTTTCCGAGGTGGTGTGAAATGTAATCCTTGCATTTGTGATCTCAGGTCTACGGAGTATGACATGCTTAGGATCTACTGAAGTGACCTGATACAAATTGGCGGAATTCGTACATTGTATACGTGTAGAGAAATAGGTGTCGTTTTCTATCAATATCTCTGAAGTCTCGCACTCGTTTTCATCCTTGCCGAGGTACATTACATGAGACATCCCGTTTTCAACTGTAACATTGAAAAAAGGTAAAAGTAATGGAATCGAACAGAATTACTTCGAAAATCTGATACAATAATTGTTTTATTGCCTACTCTGTACGATTTGTTAATTACAAATACTGGGTGTTTAATCAGGGTAAGTATGTACTTACGTATTTCACACAAACAAACTGTGAATGGACTCTCTTCATCTCTGACATCCCAAGCGGCCCTAACTTTTGACAGCGTTTGATTTCCAAATTCTCGGTAAGCAGTGGTCATCGTTCGAAAATCTGATACAATATTGATTTCTTAATTACAAATACTGGGTGTTTAATAAGGGTAAGTATGTACTTACTTATTTCACACAAACAAACTGTGAATGGACTCTCTTCATCTATGACATCCCAAGCGGCCCTAACTTTTGACAGCGTTTGATTTCCAAATTCTCGGTAAGTAGTGGTCATCGTTGCATTGGATATAATCGGCGGAGTGTGATCCATTATGACAGGACTCGAGTGAAAATGATTTCTACTTCCGGCTTGATTCACTGCAATAACAGTTACGTGTAATGTTTGTCTGTGAGGTACATCGACCGGAAGTAAGATGTTGTAGGATGATAACACGTGTATCAGTGGATGGAATTGGAATCCACCTCGAGTAGATCCTACACCGACATAAATATCCTTAATTCCACTCTCCTTATCCATCACGTCGACGTTAATCTGGAGTTCTGTAGCAGACACTTGGTAGACTTCAACAACATTGTCTGTGAGACCAGTAACTGTGACGTCATCAGATATCGACAAGGTGAAATCAAGTATTGTATGTTTTGGTAAACCACGTGCAAAAACTGATAATGATCGATTTCCTTCGTGGAATGGAGAGCTGATGAAAGACAAGGCGAGTGTGTTTACTCCATCTTTCCCAATCATAACTGGCTGAATCTGCTTTTGATTTTCAAAAGAAATTTCGAAAACATTGGCTGCGGTGATATTTACCGACGAAATTTGTAGTTTATAAACAGTGGGTTCCTGTATCTGACCAAAGATCTTAAACCAATACAATGTTCCGTTTGATGACGTCACTGTTTCTGTCATAGTTACCATGGTGATGTTAATGTGAAATGGTGCTGTTGAGTCAAACATAGCTGGGGTTGAATACACGAGGTCACTCTCAAATCCTGCAAAATCTCGTGCTTTAACGGCAAACCTAAACCATTGTCCAGACCGAAGAGGCGTTTTATGAAAGGTTACTTTGGTTCTTAAACCTGTATCGTGGAATTCCGGAGACGAATTCGGCATCACAACTGTGTCTGATATCTGTAAGCCGACTGAATAATTGTTTATAGCTGAATGTCTGTCTTCGAAGCCGTAGAATGAAACTCCCACATCTTGCGCGTTTTGGACATGGGCGTTATGGAATCGCTCAGTGTTGAACACAATGGCTTTATATGGACGTTCCTTGTCCACTAAAATGCCGTCAGAGACCAGCATATTTTTGATTCCCAAATGGTTTATACAGGTGACACTTACGTAATATTTTGTACCAGGAGAAAGCGACAAATCATTCCATGACATCGTATTATTCAGTCCTACGTCATAAATTGGTATGACATCGTCACCTACAAACAAAGAAGTATCATTACTGAGCACTATTGAATAAGTAAATGCTATCTTAGACTGGCATTTGTTGATACACGTTTACGTTTTATAAAGTCTATTAGAAATTCAATATGTATTTACTATATATTGTACCTACCTCCTGGTATAGTCCCCAGCGCCACGCGGTAGGTGTATATACCACTCTGAGCGTCCGTAAAAACATCTGACCAACATGCAGTTAGTCTGTCCAAGGCTATGGTAAAGTCAGCGTCATGGCTACATATCCCGTTTGAATTCTCAACTATATATTTCCCTTTCTTGACGGACGGAGGTGTATTGTCTGTTAGAATGGAAGGTGACGTAAACACAATGAAATCTGACGTGGATGTCCAAGCTCTGACATAGACAACGTATTTTGTGTCGTGTTGTAGAGATTTTGCTCCGAGCAAGCAATGTGTAACAGATGTTCTTTGTCCGATATCATACCACACCTTTTCTAACAGAAGATCAAATACTCCAGTTCCGACAGGCATGCCGAGCTGTCCCATGCTCCACTCTGTCCGTTTGATGTTATGACGTTGGGCTTCAGTAACTGTCCAATTGGCAGAAATACAAGCGGAAGAGGCTGTCAAAGCTTGACCCTTGACCTTACCTCCAGGTAGGATTTGAATTCTCAGATCATCATCGTGTGTCTGATTATGTTCCGTACAATCCAAGTCTATATTAACGGTATGGCACTTTTGTGATACAACAGCGCACGTGCAATCCTTATTACAATATTCAGCGCCACATGAATGCTTTAAAATTTCTAGGTACCCAAAAGTGCCCTTTATATCGGATGCTATAACAGTGACGGTCACTCTTCCAATATCGCTGAATAACCCAGCGTGATTTTCTGCCCAAACCGACAATACTAAGCGCCGACCAGACTGGAGATATTCGGTCAAAACAAACTGGAAGGATTCTGATTCACTGTGAACTTCAGATGGTGGAAATGTTAGAACTCCTTCACTTATCTCCGAACCACTGTATGAGTCACCTACCGTGACGTAATAAGTTTTGATTCCTGATTCAATGTCCTTGAACCCGTGAACCGTCATATTAATGAAAGGCCCAGTTAAGTTTGAGTCTGCAGGCGTGTGCCACGACAGGGGTTCCAGGAATCCGCCTAGATGTGGGGGAGTTGGATCAACAAGTAGCTCGTTTGAGGTTGATCTTGTACAAAGCGCTGCTTCATTACAAGCGGTTACAATAGCAATATATATATCCCCTGGTACCAGCCAGTTAGGGGGGTCTAGTGTAATGATAAGGCTAGTTTCGGTTGATAGATAAACGTCTTCTACGGGTGAATGTCCATCATGATGTGTTCTTACAGAGACCACTTGTCTCACAATGGGACTTTCTTCATCGACAAATTTCCATTTTAATGTTAATAGGGATGGATCGAACTGCACCGACACATTAAGACCTTTGTTTTCTGTTCCTAATACTGGAGGAGCTACCAGAACGGGGGGCGTGGAATCGACAATAAAACTATCCGAAACACTAATGACAGACATATTGAGGTAGTTGTAGGCCCTAATTTCAACACTCAATGGTACTTTTTGTGGCAGTGGAACAGGGTACGTCAGGCTGTTCGTCAGAAACATGTTTGTTAATGACAGAATATCACATTCGCTGATACTGGCATGTCTGACACAAATGTCGTAATTTTTTATTCCGGATTCCACGTCCACAAATCCAAACCATTCTACTTGAAATGAGTGCCTAGAAAAATTGTATCAACTCCTTTTAACAGTCAATTCGAATATAGATAACGATGAAACTTTACGTCAAAATTTGCTGTTTTTCACAAAATGTATTTTAATTACCATTTACTTTATTACATATTCAATCGCGAACGAAATCAATAATGTTCTGTTCTGAGTTAATTTAGGCCTGTGCATCACTGACAAAACCTACAATGATGAAAAATCTGCCCGGTAAGTTCTACTGTAAATCGTAATCAACTTGTTTGCAAAGTTGTTATTTATTTGTTTCTCGTTTGTACAATCTTTGATATTTTCATACTGGATATTAGTTATTAACAACGCATACGAGGATTTGATGAAGTGTTTCATATGCTGTTGTCTCTAATCAACATTTTAGGTCCTGTCGCCTGATAAAATTCAATGTGTTCTTTGGTCGATAAGTTTTGCCGCTATAAACCCAGTGTCAAGTTTGAAAACGATACTTTAACGCATCGGTCATTGTCGCTGAAATAGACGTCCTCTTCCAGACCAAATTGTATCATTTTGGCTGACACGGTTAACAAGGTACTTGTATCTGTTCACTTTTGGTCGATGATATATATAAATTATTAGACAAAGCATGCCTATTACATGAAGGCAAACTCTATTTTGACAATTCTGGAAGTGCCTACAGCTAATATGATTTATATCGTACCAATGATAAATGGAAATGACTAGCTGTAATACTGATAGAATTACTCAAAATATCAACTTACGCATGCGCCCAAAATCTTGAATGGTGACCTTCAAATCCAACATGGACGACCCCCGGCAGTGGTGGAGAATTGTCTGTTTTAAAGCCGTTAGAAGACACTGATGTACATAGTCCAGCTCCATTACACGCTTGTACCATACAGTAGTAAGTCGCTCCAGGTATAAAGTTATGAGTCCACCGGATCTCTAAAGGGAGATAAATGTGAGCATTATTCATCTGTTACTTATAAATCGCGTTGATATTGATGTCACCCCGGTCAGTTTAGACAGAGGTGTAATTGTGATTCTGGTGTTTGTGCGTTGAAAACGTTTATCTACTAAGTAAGCTGAATTACCAAAAGGCAAGAGTGTTGTTTCGGAATACAATCTCAGCAGAATATTCTCATTAAGTTATTTTGAAAATTGTACAAAAGAAATTGAAGTGAACAGCACCTTTAAATACAAATTGTAAATGGAATTTTAATCTGCTACATGCAGCTGTTTTGTCCTTCTAGCACCCGTTAGTGATGCAAAGGACCTACCTTTTAAACCTAGCTGGCGACTAAAGGAAAATGACAAATGTACTTAACAAGTTTTTTCCTGGAACCCTACTTGCCATGCAGACGAGAAGAGAGCCACGATCATTCCCCTTTAAGTTACAACAATGCTTTCAGTGACAAAAACGAAGTCATTTCTGATTGGTAGGATAACGCGACATGTATGGAATCTGTTCGATGTAATTACCGTGCTACCCTATACAATGGGCGTGATTATCAGTCCCACATGATACATATCTGTTCGATGTAATTACCGTGCTATCCTATACAATGGGCGTGATTATCAGTCCCACATGATACATATTTGTTCGATGTAATTACCGTGCTATCCTATACAATGGGCGTGATTATCAGTCCCACATGATACATATCTGTTCGATGTAATTACCGTGCTATCCTATACAATGGGCGTGATTATCAGTCCCACATGATACATATCTGTTCGATGTAATCACCGTGCTATCCTGTACAATGGGCGTGATTATCAGTCCCACATGATACATATCTGTTCGATGTAATTACCGTGCTATCCTATACAATGGGCGTGATTATCAGTCCCACATGATACATATCTGTTCGATGTAATCACCGTGCTATCCTATACAATGGGCGTGATTATCAGTCCCACATGATACAAATCTATTCGATGTAATTACCGGGCTGTCCTATACAATGGGCGTGATTATCAGTCCCACATGATTCATATCTGTTCGATGTAATCACCGTGCTATCCTGTACAATGAGCGTGATTATCAGTCCCACATGCGTACTTATGTCACGTGACTATACATAAATGATGTTTGGGTTTTGCTATGATTGCACATTCCTGTATTTCACTGACTTTTTGTAAGTGACATCCCCGCCCTCTGCTCTCAAGACACGGATATAAACAACATCAACAAATAACGTCTCCCATAGCGACAAACAGAAGGAACAACGGGTAACGTGCAAGAACATTTTTGTTAAAGATTATCTCAACAATAATTCGTCAAAAATAAATTGCACTGTGTACGATTTTATGGGGATCTTTGTGATCTAGTTTTCATGCAAGAAATGAACTTTATAGTACGTTTAAACAATTAAGCTTTAATGTCTCGTGGTTCAGATGTTAGTGGAAGAACCGTATCTCGTCACGCGGAGACGTGCTGGCCTACATTATGTCCGGCTCTACCTTCCAACGAAAAGGCCTTTCGTTCGATTGAGTACCGATTCAAGTGGTCGAGTGCTCAGTACAAAACTCGAAATGGACATTTATACACTTGGTAGCTGTAAATCTGGATTTATTACGTGTCATAAGAGGGAAATTTTTAAACACCTCTGTAACAGAGGACTTTACAGCTGACAAGATGTCCCTCAACCCTATCCATAAGCTTGGTAAAATATGTGACCGATTCATAGAACATATCTTTCGATTACAGCCCATAAAAATTAAGAGGGAACTCTACCAAGACTTCTAATAGACACATACAGACTATACTATATAATCTGGTAGAAAATTTTATTTTTAGTACCATGAAATGGAGTGTATGTGCAAGGTATATACTTTTTTAAGTAAGTCATGTACTTTTCACAATGATTCCATCAGACTGGAGTAGATCCCTAACAAAAGTGCAGTTCCTATATTTAGCAAGAATCCATCAGACTGGAGTAGATTCTGATAACTATGAGAACTGTACATATACGTAATTTTGAATACTGACTTGTCATACAATAATTACACAGAGATGTACCTACTACCCACGACAAATATCTTTGCTATGACGATCGCTTCGTTTTAGGTTGGTAATGTTTATAAAATAAAATTGCTCTTTAAAACTTAACCAGTGTACAATTAACGTGTGATGTGTCGATGACATCACCAACACTTTGATCAGACAGATAACCAGTGTGAAGCCAACACATATAAACAGTGACCTATGTTCACTAGCTCCCATCTAAATTGTTATATATATATATGCTTGTCTTACAAAGTGGTGCTAGAGGAATGTCGTATCTTCTGTTTAGTATCTTGTCACCTGTGTTTGTTCCCGTGAAGGACAAAGGTCTGACGTCATTCTCCTGAGGTATAGTACCTAGTCCCGCTGAGTAGTACTTGATTCCTGAGTGGTGGTCATGGAAACCAGACCAGTGACAGCCACCATGAGTTGTGTTTGATTGAAAGTCAATATCAGTCTTAAAATAAACATATGAAGTTATTATCATTTATAACACTTCTTTTTCATAGAAATAATCATTATTTGTATAACACTATTATATTACCAAACGCAGGAAGTTCAACGCACACCATAATATTTCTTCATCAGTATTTTAACATAGAAAAAACATTACATTTGACTAAGTAGTATTTTGCTAACTTCTAATGGTGTTATTCCTCCCCCCCCCCTTCCCCCTCCCCCAGTAATGATCCACAGTTGAATATGTTCAATTATTGAAGTTTAAAAAAATCGCGCCAAAAGGATACATAAAGAATACTTAATGCGAGCTATTTATACTAATACAATGAAAATCAACTATGAACTAAAAATAGCAACATTTTACTCACGCTTGAAATACCATCTCTTACTACGCCCCTTGTTGGCGCAGACTTGTCGACTATAAATTTGTCTGAAACCGAGACTGCAGATAAGCCTGCTCTGTTTGTTACCTTAAATAAAAAAGTTATTTTGTCAATATATGATGATAATACTTAGATTAATAACAGCAAAAGATAAAGAATGAAATAATGATAAAAAATAATAAAACTCGAGTTAAATATATATCTTTCAAATCAGATAACAGTGTAAATGAAATACACAGAAATGAGTCACCTGTTTTGATTAAATCCCTAATTTTGACACGTGTTCTTTGGTCTAAATGTTTACATAACAAAACTTATTCTGATATACATTTATAACATGGAATACAAAAAACAGCTCTTCAATTAGCGGCTACATACCAGGATAATAGCATAATACTTATGTCCATCATACAGTGACGTGAGGTTGGACAAACATGCAGTCTCCCCGACGAATTGTTGATAATCGACTACATCCGGTGCATGTTCGGTCGATCCTAGGCCGAATTGAGTTTCATAGATACCGCTTTCATTGTCATGTAAACCAACCAAATGGACGCAGAGTTCTGAGGATATTACATTCGTCGGTCTGAGAAAGGTTCCAACTTGTATCGTCCCTATTACAGGTGCAGTATTGTCGAATACCACTCCATTTGAAACGGAAGAAGTAGTGTGTCCCACCCGGTCAAATGCTGTTTTGAAAAATATTTGACATCTCACTTTAACGGTCGCCATAATGATCTCATTATGAAATATTTATCGTATTTGAGTTTTAATTTAGATGATGTTGACAACAGAGTATGTTTTCTGTTGTTTTATAATGTTAATGTCGCATATGTTATATTGTTAATATAAAAGAAGTATACACAGATAATAAAAATATCGTGTTGTTAATGAGGCCTTGGAATCATTATCTACCACATCACATTGTCATACCAGAAAACAAACTCACCAGAGCTACTTCTAATAACATCGCTAACGTTTAAAATACTAAATTCCCTGTACACGATTATAACGTCAAATTGTCGATTTGAAGACAAGCAGGTTTTGTTTTGTCTCTCCTCGATGAACGACGATGGTCATACTACTTTTGTGCCATGTACTTTTGTTTTATCTGATATTTAAACAATGTTTACAATAAATTACCTTTAACTGTAGCGTAGTATATCGTTCCTGGTCGGAATGGTGGGTTATTGACCTTGACAGATTGATGCAAGCCGATGTCGGTTTCAGCAACAACATCCTGTCCGTATGGTTCGCTTCCTACAATCGACAACAGCAGAAGTTTGTGAAATTTCAGAAAACTTGAAACTTAAAATTAAACATGTCATTATATCAGAAATTATAGTCAAGTAACACGGTGATTACCACCTTTTATGTATCGCTTATATTTACATCAAGTTGAAATGTTTAATTTCATCGATTCAGTTTTGTATGATGTATTTATATACCGACCTATGAAGTAGGAAAATTTTGCTATTGTAGATGGGTATCCCAGTGTTGTTTTATATCCATGGAAATCCCTGAATCTGTCCCAATGAACGATAACACTGTCGACGTTTATAAGGAACCCTTTCTCGGACATGACGGTCACATCACCAGTAGATGGAGGACTTACGTCTACAACAAAACCATTTCCACATGTTTTCAACGATGACATTCCATCTCCATTCGTCTGAGTGGTAGCACATATAAAGTACATGATATCCGGCTCAAGATTGATACCCTGGAAGACTGAAAACCCTCCCAGAGTTTGCACAGATGCCACGCAATTGGGATTTTCTTCACATGTTTGATTAAGGTTTTTCGAATCCTTGAGTAGATACCACATGATAGACAGATCGCCCATACCAATGATAACTCCGCCAGGACGAACAGACCTATCAGTAAAGTCAAGTTCAGCACCGTGTAGCCAGGCCATCTTGTCACCGATGTTATTTGAATAAAATAAATCTTTGTTGTTTCTAACTTCATCTGCATCTGAGTCTACCTCATACAGAATGGTTTTGTCGAATATGTTCGGATCTTCTGCCACAATGAGTGGGACACAACTGACTCCCGTTGAACCAGCAGGACAGTAAACTTCTACGCATGTAAACATTTCCAACTTCGGATAAAGTGGCAATTTCAAGCATTTTGACAACTGAAAAATGGGGGAAACACTTGACATAGCAATAGTTACAAAGGTGCCATTTTATATCACTATTTGTGTACAGAATTTGTAATTATCATTTTAATGAAAAGAACAATCGAAACAAATGTGAAAGGAAATTCAGTGTCAATATTTTATCAAATTACGAATAGTTCTAGTCCCAAAACATTATTTAATTATTATCTTAATGTTCCTGAAGAAAATAGGTGAGGTTTCCCAATTTTACAATTATCGCTTGTACCTACCGTGAAATTAATGTTATGTGTTTTAACAATGTGCAAATCCCACTTGGTAAGCTGTATCTTTGCTTCTGTATCCCGAAAGATAGCCCAGCGGAAACCAAAAGTGACGTGAGACGTCTGACACTGTACGTCGGTTACTTTCAGGTGTATATCTGAACAATCACGTGCAGTTTTGTTTAGAGTTGAGATTACAGAAAAGCTGTCGTATACTGGGTCCATGATATCAAATCCGTTCGTTGTTACTGTACCAAGACATTGGTATTCTATGCAAGGTCTTAACAGGCATGAATAATGACCTTTAACTAACTTCGTGTTGTCGAATGTAAACGTTGCAGACTTTCCTGGTACCTTTGTGAATGCAAGTATTAAAGAATCACTAGTTTCCTTAGGTGAAGCTCCATGAGACAATAATTGTAGTCCCACTTCATAATGAGAAACATATTGACTAAACACACCTTTACTCCAGTACAAGGACACAGCATCTGAACTAGTCTGCCTGTCAACATCGAGGACACAGTTCAAAATATTCAAACCGAGTGACACATTTAGTTCTGATGTTACGGTGAAGTGGGACCGTGGACTTAATGCTACAAACTCATAATAATGAAACATATCAACTTCCTTATGGGTTTTGATTATGACGTCATCACTTTCTATTTTTATACTTGCATTGGTTTCTAGTGTGTAGGAATAACCGACATGAAAAGTAATTTGGTCTGAGGTATAAATATTGGCTGTGCCAACTTTGAGTTTCAGTGATGTTCTTTGAGATCTAGCACAGTCATATCCATCATACACCTTTAATGAAGCCGTTACATCTGATGAATTTATAATTGTAAATCCATCAGATGTTGCTTCCACAAACCCTCCAGGGGTAATGCCACGTATCGTAACAAAGTAACGACGGTAATGATGAAGGGTTTTCGCATCTTCACAGTAAAACTTTACATCCGGGATACCGTGAAGTGGAGTTATGTCGTCTGTCCCCGGTAACAACCCCAAACCAAGCTCGAATTTGATATCACCATGGTATTCAAATCCTTCCCATGTTACACAATACTCATCAGGCAGGATCAAAACGTCAATATCTTGTTCCTGGTTTAACTCGGTATTGTCGGTAGGTACGACATCACGTACAACACCATGACCTGGAGAATGCTGGGATGGTAAAACGAAAATGTCGGTATTCACTGTACAGTGGTGGCCTGCATTGTTAAATGCATGAAGTTGGATGATAAAGGTGGATTGCAAGTCCCCGTCGTACACTTGTAAATCAGAGAGAGTGATAGTCAGACAAGTTTTGTGCTTTTTGAAACAACTTATGTTATTTGGAACATCCATTGGTCGGAATCCAGAGACGAAGATGCCTTGTCGACCTAAAGTCAAAAATGATTGTAATTAAATTGCATCAATCACAATCATTGTTGGTAAAAATTATAAGAATTGCTCGTTAATAATTTCGAATACATGTGCATATATTAATAAAGCATGATGAATACACATATCAATTATTTATCATTATTTTCATATAAGCAAACACATGTGAGGCCAATCATAGACGAATGGCTTCTCAAATAGTATTCTTAGCACGTGACAGAATTTACTTACTAACTCGAAATACAAATTTTGTTATTGGCTCTTTCTGTTCGTTGTCATAAAATGTTCCTTCATCCCAGTAGATATCCAAAGAGTTGTTGTAAATGCTGACGGGCAGAGATGATGGACAAATTGGCGGAGTTTCATCTATAATAACAGGTCCGAAAGTGGACAAAGTTGTAAGGCCAGCACTGTTGATGATTTTCAGAAATATAAAGATTTCCTCTCCGTTACTGAGGCCAACATGTCTCTGCTTGTAGGAGTAAATGTGTGGCGATTTGTGAAAGTCTATCAGATCTGGAGACGCTCCGCTCTCTTTTGTTGAACCAATGCCTATATAAACATCGTGAACCTGACTGCTTGTGTCCTTAATGTCCCATTGGAGGTAAATGAGATCATGTGGAAGATAAATTATTCCGTGACCGACACCGATCTGACAGGGTTGGTTTGTCTCGCGAGATGTTTCTACAGGTAACAACGATGCGAACTCGTTCACAGGTGTATTTCTGCACAGATCAGCACAATCAGCATTGACTCGGTAGCGTGTCAAGTTCTTTGTTATGTACCATGCAGTTTCATCGGAACATACCACTGCACCTGTGACAGAAGCACCCCTCATGGTAACGTTTACTATTACAGGAGGAGTCTTATCCAGCACGACGCCATCCGAACACATAGGGTCCGAGGGTTCTCGGGCATTATTGTATGCCACCACGGTCACAAAGTACTGGCCTTTCTCTGGTAATATCAAAAGGGCGGATTTATATGTAGTCTCAAATATTGATATTTCATTGTCGTCTTCTAGAACACCAGTTCCATTTTTATGATCAATCGCTTCTCTTCCAAGACATGTTCTAGCCAAACCTACCCTATAGGCTTGTACTCCACTCTCGTGGTCAATAAAACCGTCCCAGTGGACAATAATTTCGTCCCTACTTGTGTAGTCAATGTCCGGTCCTCCGACCGGTCCCTCTCTGACCATACCTACAGCCGGAGGTGAATCGTCCGTTAACACTTCAATATGCTCTACGTAATGCAGCCTAGCTTCATTTGTTACCGTGAGGGTGAAGTGGTATACACGATTGTGATTGCCGTTGTGTGTATTAAGGTGCACAAGTGAATTGAGCTTCAACGTGAAGTTGAAATAAGCACATTGACCGATGGAAGGACAGTAGCAGTTCGGACGTTCCACACAGGATTCCTGTATTCAAAGATATGAAAATTACAGGACATACTCTTTAGACCGTAAACAATTATAAAAGACATAAATGTAAAACTTGATAAAGTTTAACTAAATAATTAATGTGACTGCCTGGATGAACTGGACTGGGAGGTTCACTTCCACCAAAATTAGTTTAATAATTTTCAATATTTAATGGTTTCTTGTTATATTTCGAACACTGAATGAATTAGAAGGCTACACAGATCTCGGAGATATTTTCACCAACATTGTCTACCACCTAAAATCTCTCTGATTGAACAGAATACACACAAGTAAATTGCACTTTTCAATACAAATTTAGAGTTAGATAATTCACTTCCCAATGCAGATATTTATTGATTATTACGCAAGCTTATATACTTACATTATGTGTGAAACGAACTACTCCTAATGAGCCATTTCCAATATCACTTGCTTCGAAAGACGTTCCAAGAGACCAATCCACAGAGTACAAGCCACTGTGAATATCTAATGCATTAAATTTCAAAATCATTTTAGAAAGATCTGAACTGTTATGGACAGATAAAAGTTTATAACCGTCTTTCTCCAGTCCTACATCGAATATTTCAGGTCCGCTGGAATCGATATGGGTGTACACATGTTCCGTGTAAGTGTGATGCATGATGTCTTGTGCCTCGATTTCAAAACGGTATATTTCTCCGTCCTGCATCGTCGGGGACAAACAAATTTTCTGAGAAGCAAAATCAGGCACATTTTCCTTACTTATAATTTCAGTTTCACTGGAAAGCGAAAAGTAGAAATGTGTTATGCCATGAACATTTGCAGTCCCAGAAACGGGAAGAATTCCAGATATTTGTTCATAAATACCTGTAATATGACCGTGATAGTCTGGTTTTATTGGCTGCAGCAAGTTTAAATGATAAGATTTATCATTGTAATACCTGTCAGCCCAGGAGTAACAAAGGTCTCCGTGGTTAGTCTGCCACTTGTTATTAGTGATATCAGTTGCTGTGGTGGAATACAACGGTTTATCATCTCTTACGAGTATCTTTGAAGTATTGTCAAACATTACGAATCTCCTGGCCTGTTTAACATTATTGGCAATGTCTTTAACTTCTAAGAGAACAGCGTACAGTGCAGGATTAGGTAGGTCTGAAGGAATTTCGAATCCAATAGGTTGATCGGAATCTATTGTCCTTGTGACAACTGAGTCTCTTCCCATTTCCAGCAGCCCCGGCCCTGCGTCTTTTACCTCATATATGCTAATTAGGTATCTGTCTATACCGGAAGCGTATTCAGGGTTTCCATGGACAGGAGATGGATCATGCCATCCAGTTACATTTACCTGGAAACTTGGATTAGTCAGGATACGACTACTTATATCTAGTGGCTCTTTGTCGCAGATCTCATGTTCAAGGCAATGTATTGGAGAGGCATTGTCAAAGTGATAACACAAGTCTCGTGTTGTCATGGTCTTTGCGAATGGAACTTCTGTTTCGTGGTGTGTGATGAGATTCTTAGAGACCAAGTGACCACCCCCTCGGGATATAAATCTTAAGCATAATCTTCAATAAATAAAGTAAAATGGTGATATCATTTATTGGAACTGAAAATGATCGTTCAATATTTCATTCGAATAACAAAAATATAAATTAAATTCATTACAATAGACTTCGCTGACATTCTGTATTTTCTTTGATGAAGAACTTCTGTGTAAACCGAACTGACAACGTATTTCACGATTTATCAATGGATACGGAACCAACCTTCTCAAATAGATAGATTTTCATATGTAAACAAAATCACAGCGTATTTATAGATAGACACGGAACCAACCTTCTCAAATAGATAGATTTTCATATGTAAACAAAATCACAGCGTATTTATAGATAGACACGGAACCAACCTTCTCAAATAGATAGATTTTCATATGTAAACAAAATGACAGCGTATTTATAGATAGACACGGAACCAACCTTCTCAAATAGATAGATTTTCATATGTAAACAAAATGACAGCGTATCTTACGATTTATAAATAGACACGGAACCAACCTTCTCAAATAGATAGATTTTCATATGTAAACAAAATGACAGCGTATCTTACGATTTATAAATAGACACGGAACCAACCTTCTCAAATAGATAGATTTTCATATGTAAACAAAATGACAGCGTATCTTACGATTTATAAATAGACACGGAACCAAAATCCTATATATAGATAGACTCAAATAGATAGATTTTCATATGTAAACAAAATGACAGCGTATCTTACGATTTATAAATAGACACGGAACCAACCTTCTCAAATAGATAGATTTTCATGTGTAAACAAAATCACAGCGTATTTATAGATAGACACGGAACCAACCTTCTCAAATAGATAGATTTTCATATGTAAACAAAATGACAGCGTATCTTACGATTTCTAAATAGACACGGAACCAACCTTCTCAAATAGATAGATTTTCATATGTAAGCAAAATGACAGCGTATTTATAGATAGACACGGAACCAACTTTCTCAAATAGATAGATTTTCATATGTAAGCAAAATGACAGCGTATTTATAGATAGACACGGAACCAACCTTCTCAAATAGATAGATTTTCATATGTAAGCAAAATGACAGCGTATTTATAGATAGACACGGAACTAATCTTCTCAAATAGATAGATTTTCATATGTAAACAAAATCACAGCGTATCTATAGATAGACATGGAACCAACCTGTCTCCATCAGATAGATTTTGTGTTGGGTTGTTGTTACTTATATCAACGTCAAATGATAATAAGTGTTTCGGGTCGTTACTGTTAGGATCACTATGGAGAACGATAGTATTCACAATGTCATCATCCCCTTGTAAAGATTGAAAAGGTAGAAATGTTTCACTTGGAAAGAAAAAACAGCTTCACATTAAGTAGACATTCTGGTTATCATTATTATAAAAGGTCAATGACGATCGATTTAGGAAACATTGAGTAGAGAATCTCTCTGATTCACTAACTGATACCAGAACTGTTTTTCTCTATGATTTTCTATCATAAACTGCATATTGATGCCAGCGGATGAATCGGTAGCGGTGATTTTTCCAGAAGTTACGAATGGAATTATAAATTTCAATAAGCGTCACAGAAAATAAGAATTTTGAATTAAAACTTAAAATCAAGAACAAGCCACAATAATTGGTAATTTTAGAAAATTTAAGATAATTAAGGAAAAGAAGAAAGTATGTTGCGATGCCTCTCTTTCCTAAGAAAAAACAAAACACGTGTTTTTATTAATTTATCTAGTAAGGGAAACACTCAAAATAGTAAATAATAAAACAAAATCTCTCCAATAGACGTCTGAATAACATATATGGTAAGAACTGTACACTGAATAGATAGTTACCCATCGACAATCGTTAGAAGTAAATGAAAATAAAACGAAATCCTCTTCGCAAGAAATGCAATGTTACAATGTGTGATGTGACACCTTAACGAAACAGATTGTCAATAAACTATATCTTAGTTTCATGTTTCAATAACAAAGATTATTCCCAATGATTGAATTACAAATATAGAACAATGAACTGAATTTATATTGCTTTATCATTGCAAATACAAATTGATGACGAATAAAAGATATAGACTTACCAATTACCGGTTTCATCACGAGGCTTATTTCAGCGTCAGTTACGCCAAACGCATGGTTTGTAACATAGTCAGGTTTTGGTACATGGGAAACGTTGACGACAAATTCGAAAGAGGTATTGGTAATTATTCGGTCTACTTGAATGTTTCCGTAGAAATCTTCCTGGTTGGAACAGTGCGTCGATGAATTGGGCGGGACAGGTGACATTCGAGCGTCGTTGTTCGCATCAATTACCTCCATTTTACACTGAAGTATTTCTGGAATTTTGGCAACTGTAAGATTGAAAGAGAAACCACAAACGGTAAAAGAGTTATAAAACAATGTGACGATTATGGAGTCTACACTTAATAAGTGTTTGGTAGATAACAAATAGGTTGACAATACGTTACGACATCGGAAAAATCAGTTTTGTTTATAGTGATTTATGGGTTATTTTAACGGATGATGATATCTATAAGATAATATCTAGATTCATTGTTTTTTACATACAATATTCCATGTTAACATTTATGTTTTTGTTCCTTTGGTTTTTTATTGTCCAGAGAAAAAATAAGCTGAAAGTCACTATCAACATATCTGACACACCACTTATTTCATTACTAGATTGTATCATAAAACAGTAAGAAAAGTGCTGTGAGCACCGAATATTTCATTTTAGAATTTATCATGTTCCGTTAAATTTACATTCCATTATTTATATCTTCACTACATTACAAATCTGCAGCTGGTCTTGTTAGGTCATAGGGCGAGACTAATTGTCCTTGTTAGGTCATAGGGCGAGACTAATTGTCCTTGTTAGGTCATAGGGCGAGACTAATTGTCCTTGTTAGGTCATAGGGCGAGACTAGTTGTCCTTGTTAGGTCATAGGGCGAGACTAATTGTCCTTGTTAGGTAATACGACGATTCCAATTGTCCTTGTTAGGTTATAAAACGACTCTAATTGTCCTTGTTAGGTAATTTAAAATCATTTTGATAATAAATGGATGAAGTTATTGAAGGAAGACATGTGACGTTGTAGTGTTGTCTCGATATTGGTATTTGAAGAGTTGAGTTACCTTTTTTCCACTGAATAAACCTTTCATTAAATAGGAATAGATGTGAAGTGCTCATGCCTAACGAAATCGTAACTTTCTTTTCTAAACACGTTTTAAAAAGAAAGGTTAAATAGGATGGTGGAAAGAAATTGTTACCCACTCGCCACATTCTTGAACTTGATTTTGGTTTTTTTTTTTTCCTGAAAGCAAAATCACATTCAGGTACGGAACTGAACTAGCTATTGGAGAAGCTCTTTCGCTGAAGAAAACTTCGGCACGACAATAACGTGGTAATGGCGTTTGCGCAGCGCACAGACATAACAATATTTTTAGACTACTTTTCACCTATTTGTCCGCTGTTTCCAGGGACAAATAGTTCATGAAAACAATTAATGATCTTTTTAGGATTGCATAAGGCCAAGCCGAAAGTCCTCCCTGGCTAACAGGGAGCAAATAGGTCATCAGTTACGTTGTAATCGGACTTGAGTGTTATCTAACACCGTGGTGAGAAATACCGGGTCACATTCACAAATAGATAATCACTTACGTTGACATCGGGCTTGAGTGTTATCTAACACCGTGGTGAAAGAAGCCGGGTCACATTCACAGTCCATCGCATAATCACCACTACCACAACTACCAGGCCAGCACCAGCGGTTTTCCCAGGAACATGTTCCTTAAGACAAAAGTATTTAGTATGGATTATTGATAAACTATCCGTATAATTTTTTAAAATGCAGTAAGGAAACTTTTATGTACATTAAGTAAATCTGTTAATGTTATCCGCATGTCAGCTTTAATTCACAATGATTGATATAAACAAGCATGAACCCATAAAACCTGGGATGCTGAAACGACGTTATGATGCCAACAAAGAAAACATAAACAGAGTTACATTCATATATACTACTGGCTCGGGTATTTTATTCCTAATGTACTTACATATATACTCCTGGCTCGGGTATTTTGTTCCTAATGTAGAGTTACATTCATATATACTACTGGCTATGGTATGTTGTTCCTGATGTACTTACATATATACTACTGGCTCGGGTATTTTGTTCCTGATGTAGAGTTACATTCATATATACTAACATATATACTACTGGCTCGGGTATTTTGTTCCTAATGTATATATACGAGTTACATTCATATATACTACTGGCTCGGGTATGTTGTTCCTGATGTACTTACATATATACTACTGACTCGGGTATTTTGTTCCTAATGTAGAGTTACATTCATATATACTACTGGCGCGGGTATTTTGTTCCTAATGTAGAGTTACATTCATATATACTACTGGCTCGGGTATTTTGTTCCTAATATACTTACATATATATACTACTGGCTCGGGTATTTTGTTCCTAATGTAGAGTTACATTCATATATACTACTGGCTCGGGTATTTTGTTCCTAATGTAGAGTTACATTCATATATACTACTGGCTCGGGTATTTTGTTCCTAATGTACTTACATATATACTACTGGCTCGGGTATTTTGTTCCTGATGTAGAGTTACATTCATATATACTCCTGGCTCGGGTATGTTGTTCCTAATGT